TTTTATATTGTCCGCCACGACGTTGAAAACGTTGGGCGTGTTGGTTGCGTACAGCGCCCTGATTCTTTTGAGCCTCGATAATCTCATCGAGTGACATAGTTAAAGCATTTAACTGAAAATGTTCTGCATCCATTATAACCACTTTTTTTGAGCAAGCCTTGTGAACGCTCTAAACTTTCTGTAAGAAAAAAAATTTATTTCGATATTGCCACGTAGTTAAGATATTAATTTCATTGATGCCAATAAAATAAAATTTTTCTTATGACAGAATAAGTGAAATGTTACCATCGTGTGTTTTGAAAACAAATTTATGGTGTATTATATATTCTAATCTTACACTATCCTGGGGAACGATTCCTTAACTGTAAAAACAATTTTGCGCACATACACTTCAGTTAATACAATTGAGGAATAGACCTACTATAGTAATACGAAATCAAAAATTTATTAAAAGTAAAGTCAACGCCTACGTATATAAAACTTCAAGAATATGTAAACTACATATAAAAAGTACCAATAGGTTGCTTCAAATGATTTGGGTACAACTTTTTCCATATCATATATATCATATCTTATATAGTCGTTGGTGGGTAGTCAATAGTCAATAGTTTTTCTATGAAAAGGCGGTCAATTTATTCTCATAACATGTTTTTTATATTTTCTATAAATTTATTTGTAATATTAATTTTTGAAATTTTTAAAGTTCTCTGCTTTGTTTATTGTCTGGACACATAAAAACTGAATATGACATTTAACATAAATAATTTTTTTTATTTTGTTCATATATATAGATATACAGAAAATATTTCAAGGTCTTGTTTCATATGTTGGGGATATTAATCTGATTAAAAATTATTAAAAAATTACAAAAAAACGCTTGTCATATTTGCTGTGGGTCTGTTAGGGATCGTATGTAGTGGTTGTTTAGGTTGCACTGATACGCGAGCCTTGTACACCGAAGAAAACTTACACTGCAATAATTAGTCCTTGTGATGATACATTGTGTGATACGTTGTTCATATGTCAGACCAGCATAAGCACCAAAGCGCTTAAATAGTCAGTGTATAGCAGATATCGAATAAAATATGTATAACTCACTCATAACTCTCTCTCTCTCTCTCTCTCTCTCTCTCCCAACCTTATATGCCTAAAATTTAAACTATTTACCATATATTCGTATATAATGTCAGCATGTAATTAAAAAAATTTTTGAAACAAGGTTTTTTTTTGAAACAAGGTTAGACCCAAAATTAGATCTCGTTGAACTCCATATATTTGAATAATACTCATAAGATGACATCGCAATGCTAATTGGCTAATGAACGCTGGGTCTGAGCTTCAAATTTGGCAGGGCATCAGTTTAATTCCTGATACTTACAGTCTCAAAACACTATTTACAAATAATTAAACACAATAATTATTTTCAAGACCTCTAATGATGGGTATTTGGCAATATTCCAAACAAAAATTCAATTAATTAGAATAATATAAAAGAATTTTTGTTGTTGTAGTTCACTACTTTTCCAAAAACATCTTTATTAACAAATTTATCAAACCAAAAACAAATCCTCACATCACAATACCAATAAGGTAGAATATAAATATTTCGCCTATTAAAAACGAAACTGAATTCATAATATGATCAATGTTTCCCCTTCTTCTGAGGTATGCTCTCTTCACATCCCACTTTTCCAATTCATAGCCCACATATAAGTTCTAATAGTTAAGTATATCTTTCTCGGTAATTCGATCCATCGAATTTAATAACTTACTTTCCATATCAGCATTGGCAATCATGTTGCGCTCATCATATAAGGCCTTGTTGCAGGATACATAATATAATATATATAATAAACAAACGAACACGTAAAATTCCTCGATTACTTAAGGAACTCGCACTCGAAACTCTCATTTAAAAAGATTACTTAAGGAGCGTACTGTGCATGCAGTGGAATATTCATCGCCGTGCTACAACGTCAATACGCCGTCTCTTAGGAATTAAATAATTTAGTTAAATAAAATAGTGAAATTATTATTGCTGTACTTTGTGTATAATTAATATATACTATTTCTACTAAAACCTATTTATTGGAGTCAGTAAGGACTTGATACAACTTTGATAATAATTCAAATTTTTCCGTTTCCTTTTCATGGTCAGCAACTCGGTCTGGGTGGACTTTCAAATACAATTTATAATATGTCTTTTTAATCTGACAATTTGTAGAGATTTTTGGAATATCAAATAATTTATAAATATATCTAGTATCGAACAGATTTTCGCAACTTCTCTTTTATCAAACGAACCAATCAAACTCCAAATACACAAAACTTGCAGTAAACTTGCGGTAAACTTGCGATTACTTAAACTGATTTAGTGTTGCAACTGACATAGAATACATACAGGAAAATTGAATTAATTGCTTTATCTATATGTAACTATATTCGTTTTATTATTAATATGTTAAAAATTTTGTTATTAAAATAATCATTTCTAAATGACTAAAGTTGAAGACAATTTTATAATAACCACAAAAAATATCGAATTAGATGTTTTGTCATAGAACTAAAATGAAATTCATAATTAAAAAAATTTTATTCATATACTTGTATAAAATTAGTTAAATTTTAATGTTAGGATATCAGTCATATGATTATTTTATTGTTGTCAAAATTAACTTATTCTAATACAAGCAATTCCGACGCCCTTATTTGAGTAGGGTCAGTTCAAGCGCTGGAGTCTCGAACAGTCTTTGTGTTCAAAAATACACTCTAACTAGTTTTAGTTGTTTAAATGGAGTGCTGTCGACAAATTTGTAATATAGTTAAGAAATAAATAACAACATCAGCAACATCACAAACAGAAAATAACAATGGCATGAAAAATTGCACTATGTCAGTATAACAGCTCTTTTCAAACAAAGAACACTTGCGTTCCCGAACCCAAAAACTTGTACTAAACTATAAGTTTTAAATGAATTTTGATTCAGAGTTTGAAGGCGTTTAATTGCGTTGGTGACATTGTTCACCATCAATACTACAAACGCGATGAAGCGATTGTTAGGATCATTACTTAATGTTGTAAGTCCACTATATATATATCTCTGGTGTCTAATATTTTCCACAACGTTTGGCATGTCAATATATTTCTCTCCCGTACTGTTGATACGAGAGATAATCGCCAAACCAAACTCATGACAAACTCATAAAACCCAGTAGTTGGACTTTATTGGTAGAATAGACGTACCCAAAGGGACTTTGTCGGAACCATTATTTTTTGTTTATAATAATTTTTTATGAACTTAAAAGATGAAAATTGAAGTTTCTGGTTTTTAGTACATTGAATGCACAAAAATCTTGAGTGTTAAAACAGTAGAGTCTTCAAGAAACGAACTTCCAAATTAAATATTACTTCAAACAGTCACAGATATATCTTTTTTATCAAAGTACACAATTTTTTTTTTTTTTGGAATTGTTTTCGGTTGCAGTTTGTGAATCATAACCAATACTTATGTACGCCATTAAACAAAACTTCCGAATCGGAAGTTTCTTGCAAGGCGAATTTGTAAATTTTTGTGTGTATTTAATTTGCGGGCCCTGAATGCTCTGGAATCCACAAAATATGTCAAAAATAAAATAAAAACTTTAAAAAAAAATTAAACAATTTTCGATCTAAAAATGCAGTTGTTGCTCAACACAAATGTCAAGGAAAATGCAATAACGAAAATGTTTAAAACTCGTTGGAATCTGTTACTTTTACTGTAAATATTACAGATTATCCATTGCATGGTCCTGATTTGAGAACACTTTTTCAGTGTATTTTATGGCTTGTACAACTGCTGAGATGTGACATTTATGAAAAGTTACCATAGAAATGATGATTCTTTAGTAGGTACATTTCGTGTATCATTAAAAGATCTTATGGTCGACATAATTGCTCATAATTCATAATTGTATAGGCAAAACTGTGAATAAATTTGAAGAAACTCTACACGTGGTATGTACCAAATCCTTAACAGATCACATCGCTAAAAATATTGGCGCTGTTAGGGAAAAGGTTGAAGAATACGTCAAACAGACGCTCAAACAGATTGGATGCTCAGACAGATTGGATGCTCAGACAGCAGCGTTGGATGACAATTTCTCGCATCGAATTTTCTTCGGATGCATCTAATATTTTACTAGGTGGTTAACTGAATAAAAACCATGCGGTTCTTGGAACAGAGAAAGTCCACAAGTTTGGTGAAATACTATTCTATCCGCACAAAATCAATGTACGCTGTGATTTTCATTTCAGGCCATTTATATTTGGACTATATATGCTATAAAAGCTAGGTTTGCGAAAGAATCTTACTCTGTTGGATATTTTGTGGAGAACTTATGAGTCATGTAAAATACACTTGATTAAAGTATCAACCACAAGTGTAGTTGGCTTACACACGTTAAAGTGTTTAACCCCGACATCACATTTCGAATAATAATAATACTTGATTGTTACTCTCAATTAGTTTAAAATTATAATGGCAACCGTTCCATTTCTATTTTAATAAAAGTTTTTAATTCCATACCTGATGAACTGCTGACTAACCGAGTTCCAGTACGTTTAAAGTCAATATAAATGTTTCTATTTCAATTGTTTCTATTTTTATACATTTCTATGCAAGTTATAATGCCTTTAAAATATAAATATATAAATATACATATATACATATACATATACATATCCGTTGGAAGAGTTCTGTGCCTGACTGAATTCTTATAGAAATAAAATATTTATTTAATATAGCTTGACTTTCAACGACATAAAAATATTAATGATTAATATATTATTATAACACCATGTGGGTATTTAAACTGTTATAAAAATAATAAGTTGGAGTGGTGTAAACAGGACTGAGCTAGCAGGTGTAAGAGATTATTACATACATTAAAAAAATTTTTTTTGCTGTGTATTATCTATTGTAGAATAAATAAGCCTCCAGTAACAAAATTTTAAAAGCATCCGTTCAAAATACCCATTGCAATCGCTTAACTTCCTGCATATTATAAATACTTGCAGACTATATACCGAATTTTTCGAACCTTCAATAGATTTGTAATTTATTTATCAGTCATGAAATAAAGCAATTCTTAATATATAAAATATGATAATATCTGCATACGTAGTTCCGCAGTTAATACTAATTTTCCGAGTTCAAAAATTTATTCGTTCATTTGTGAAAATTTTTAAGTCCAGAACTTAAACCTGACTAGGTCTTTTTCTTTTGTTGTTTCTTAACTTTTTTTTTATTATTTTTCTCTCGCTCCTGTTTTTTTATTTCTCTTTCAGCGCTCCGTATCATTTTCTGGTTGTAGGGAGTGTTTGCTGATTCCTCCTCATTTTTATCTACTTTTGAAAAACCCATGGAGTTTTGTATCCATTGCCAAAATCGATTTAATAGATTCATAACAAAAATTTTAACATCACTGATTTTTTGACGTGGAACACAAAGTCCAAGGCAAGCGACCACCATGCATATATAAGCCAAATAATGGAAAAGACTGTCTTCCCTCCATGACGTTTCTCGGTTTCTGAATAGAGGCCTTTGTTGCTTATTGACAGAATCACTAGTGACTTCCACGACCTTTACGAATACAATCCAACCAATACCAACAAGTGTGCTTTGCCCTATCACTGTAAGTAAATGTTGGAGAAATCCAACACGATTAATATTATCGGCTCTGCTTTTAACTTCTGAAAAGTATAACAGTGCCGTGAAACACAAAATTCCAGAAGTTATACATGTGGTCGTCCATTTGGGTGATTCAGCTGGCGCCAGGAAGGTAACGCAGACCAAATAAATACTCATACCAATTCCTACTGTAAGCCAATACAGAAACACATGCTCTGGCCGATGTTGCACTGTGGTTGGATAGAGATCATCTGTATATGAATCCATTATACGATTTGAGCTACAGGGACCTGCTCGATCACCAGCGGGAGAATTATGCTTCTTAGTCTTGGTTTTTGTTGTTCGATCTCTGTTCATGATGACTTAACACAGGAAAACCTAAAATATTAAAAATATTTATTAAATAACATAAAATAAGTTTATTATGATCAGATTTAGTCTTACCATATAGTATGTGTTAAGTTTCCACATACTAACTATAAAATACTGAACTTTTATATAATAAGGAGTTAAATATAAAGTGAAATGTTGAAGGAGGCTAAGGTCGAAAACCAGTTATAGTGAAGATCATAATGATGTTGTTGATGAAATATATTTTATATCACTTAATATTGGCAGCTAGAAACTGCCGAGGATATATGTAGAGGATATATTATTACGTTAATATACTTCAAGTTTTTTATGATACTTTATTTTTTTATTATACAATTTTTTTAGTTATATTATCAAAAGAAAAAATTAAAGATATTCACTTACTCAAATCATTCAACAATCTCCAGTTTAGTGCTGGGTGGTGAATACAAGATAACTTCTACAAAAGCGATCACGTGTTCCTTTAATTTTTCTACAAAATTAATTATAATTTATTAAATAATTAAGCAACACAAAACAAAAGATTTGTGGCGACCCAGTAGGCTATGCTTTTATTGAATTTAAAAAGGAAAATTCAATTTTAAATATTAAAAAGTTTTGTACCCCCATCCTAGCGACGGAGTACGGGCGACGACGCGCTACACATGAAGAGAAGTTACTCGCGGTAGTCACACAACTTCGCTGGGAAATGCACTGTTCGGCCAGAACGCGAAACCTTTGAAGAAACGGCCGACGGTTTAAGAACCTTCTTCTCGGATGCTTGTTTCCGCTCATGATTGACTAAAGGAAGTGGCGAAAACTGCTTGCCGGTAAGTTCATCGTTAGTCAAATAAGCTGGTTTTAATCTGTCTAACGCGATGGTGCACCTGCTCCCTCTTCTGTTAATTACGAAATATTTTTCATCTCGTTGAAGAACTTGAAACGGACCTTCATACGGCTGTTCCAATGGAGCTCTCACCCGATCGACACGCACGAACACAAACTTGCTGGTTAGGAGGTCATTCGGAACATAGACTGGGTGATGCCCGTGTCTACTGCCATTGATTGTCTTCAGTTGAGCCAATGCATTACGAAGTGATGAAACGAAATCGGTTTCACCTGGCTTTTGGCATTTCTGTGACAACAGCTGTCCTGGAACACGTAACGGGTTTCCGTACAACATTTCAGCGGAACTGACGCCTAGATCTTCCTTTGGGGAAGTCCGTAACCCCAGCAGAATCAATGGGAGTGTGCGCGTCCAGTCATTAGAATTATGGCATCGCAAAGCAGCCTTCAACGTCCTATGCATACGTTCAACCATCCCATTCGCTTGGGGGTGATATGCTGTGGTGTGAATATGCTTGATACCCAATAGTCTGGACAACTCTCGGAAGATCGTTGATTCAAACTGACGTCCTAAATCAGTCGTGATAATATGAGGAACACCATACTGTGCTACCCATCCTTCGATAAACGCGCCGGCAATGACTTCGGTCGTCATGTCTGAAACAGGAATCACCACGGGCCATCGTGAAAAACGATCGATGCACGTCACACAGTATCTTTTACCCTGCGACAGTGGTAGTGGTCCGATGATGTCCATATGCACATGTTGGAAACGCTCATCTACGCCTGCGAAACAACCTAAAGGTGACTTGGTGTGTCGGTTAACTTTAGACAATTGGCAAGCGATACAGGATTTAAAAAACTTTGACGTGCAGGCTGGCCGTATGCCTCGTTGGCGGCCGCGCCATGTCAAAGTGATTGAGAGTGGAGAGCGTTGATGAGATTTGATGAAGTCGTCAGCTTGAGAAAATAACTTTGATCTGTAGGCTGGCCTCATGCCTCGTTGGCGGCCGCGCCGTATCAAAGTGGTTGTAAGTTGTTGCTGCTGCTGTTGCTGCTTCATTTCAGGTGTGCGTGGCGCTATGGCAACGTGTTTCTTAGCCGGTGATTTGTTAGTGGAGGATGCAGTGTAATTATTGCTTGTCGTTTTTCGCAGATTTGGTGCCAGCTGTGCAATTTTCGTGGGTTTGCTACGCTCAATTTTCTTCATTGCTGGTATTGGCATCGTATTAGCGGGGGTGAGTGTAGGTGGTGTGATAATTGCAGTAGGTAATTTTGAAAAACGTAACCGTTTGTTCAGATCACGTCGGGTGCGCGTTAAGATCACGTCGGCTGCGCGTTAAGATCACGTCGGCTGCGCGTTAAGATCACGTCGGCTGCACGTTAAGATCACGTCGGGGTCACCAATTTAGCTAGGGTCTATTAACCTTGCTAATAAATAAAACTCTCAAAATTTATGATGTTAATAATCTTTTAATCAAACTTTTTACACGAGAGAAAAATGGAAACGTTTTCCACCATCTCAAACCCGAAAACTTTTTAATATTTAAAATTGAATTTTCCTTTTTAAATTCAATAAAAGCATAGCCTACTGGGTCGCCACACATATATATAAGGCAACACACCAGGAATTATTATAAGAAGAACCCCATTAAAGGTTTACCTATCTCTCGAATATACCTTTATTCAACTAATGTGGCATCTCAAATTTTGGATATGAAAAATTTACTGATTGAGTTCACAAAAAAAAGGTAGTACTAAATAGATATATATTTTAAAATTATTTCTATTTACTTAATCCAACTCTATGTTATGTCCACGATTCTTTCAAAAGCGCTCAAGATAAAAAATTAACACCTTTCGAAACAAAGGTCTGAGTGGAATTTCTTTTCAAGAGGCAAAGAAAACATCAATTTAAAGCTGTAGAATGTTGAAAATAATTATAAGAAGAAGAATAAATATATACAAAACCCTCGATTGTTACTTGTCTACTCTAAACTCTGCGGAAAAACAAGATATAAAAACTTTTTACAAAATACATTCTTACCTTCATTAACAATTCACTGAGTACTACAAATTTTTCTATAATAATCACTTATAAAATTTAAACTCAAGAGATATACCGCACTAGATATATCTACACAAAATATATATGTAGTAAACTGCACAAGAGTTTCAGATAAAATTTTATAAATTTTTATTTGATTTGATATGTAAGGTTAAAAATTCAAAATTTATGATTGAAAATAATTCAAAGCTAACTACAGAATTTTTCGAAATATTGAATCTAATACGGTATTATTCCTTTCGAACTTGAAAATCGCAGAAGTTGAAAATTTCATTCCAGGATCATATGGCTGCATTGTTAATAAGTCTAAATTGGATAGAAATACAGGAAATTAGTGGAATGTTCCTACTTAAATATATTCACAATTATACTTGTATATTTTTATCTCTAAAAATGTTATACTCACAAAACTGTGGTAGAAATTCATGACATGAAGCTACACTGAAGTACAATATATGAAGGTAAGTTTTGCTAGTCTTTCAAAGATATCACAAAATTAATAATATAATAAACGACCGTGAAATAAAATTGGAAGTGCCCTATCCTCAAGATTCTCTATTTTTTGAAGACTGAACAGATATGAATATATATGAAGAGTTTGTTAGATTAAAAATCTTCTGGAAAAGTATCAACGGCACACAGTGCGCCAAAACAGCAGTTCTTGATTAGCAGATCAAAATTTTGTACGATTAGAGAATTAAAATGAAAAAAAAATAAATTAAATTAAATAAAAATTAGAGATATTAAAATTAAATTTTTCTACAGCTTTGTTGGCCTTTCCTTTGAATCTAAAGCCAAATCGGCTTATGGAAACCTTCTGCAAATTTAAAGACAAAAATTATACATTTTCAAATTTTTTAGTGACCTCGAAAATTATGACAGATAAAAAGTTAATGTACTTCATCGGTAGACGAACACCGATTAACAAATAAGCAAGCAAACATATTTTCGTAGAAACTTAAAAATATATAAATTAATTAGATATTTCATATGTTGGCATAAGTACTTTGCCAAGTATATAATACTAAGAGAACAAAGTTTAAACTTAACAAACGTAAATAAAAGAAGAAATTTCAAGTAAAATGTATAACCTCCTTTGGCTTCAATAACTTTTTAAAGGCGTCTCCGTACTGAATTTACTAAATTTTGAAGAACCTCTAAAGATATTCCTTTCCTCTTCTCCTCTTTGGTTTTATTTAACAAAACTGTTCTCTTTCGTTTCAAAACCAGAAGTTTTAACCAGACGTATTCTATAATATTTAAATCTGGACTTTGAGGTAACTAGTTTAAAGTAGTAACACTAACATCCTTCAAAAAATTAGTTACCATCCGGGCTTTGTAAAATTGGGCATTATCCTGTTCCAGGATAAGTGATGCTCTAATAAACTTATTTCTGGAAGGAAAGGTATATTCATTTAGGGTAGTGAAATATTAACCTTGGTTCATCGAATCCATTATATGAAAAACATCCCCACAACATGAAAGAACCCGTTGAAAAACGAGACGTCTTCTTCGCATTTGCACCTTTGGAAATCCCACAAAAAAATGTGTTTTTGATAAATTATATTCAAAGGAATTTTCTACTGTTGTTTACTGAATTTTTTTCCAGAATTCTTTAGCGAAGACCAGTCTTTTAAGCTTGTTTGTCTTTGATATGTACGGCACGTCCTTAGGTTTTATTCTCTTATAATCTCCTTTATTTAAATGTCGTCGGACAGTGCGCACACTAATTGGATTCTTGACCGTCAAATTACATTCCAGATTAAGGCTTCCAAAAAATATTTTTTTTTTAATTTTCCTTAGAAGGACTCGGTCTTCAATGGGCGTTGTTTTACTCTTAGCACCTCATATTGTTAAGTTTCTTATGTCATTATGCTTTTTAAACTTATTTATTTGACGGTGTACAGTTTGTCGTGACATCCTAAATTCTTTTGTTATATCTTTTACTGCTGTTCATGTACAAATCTTTATTAAAAAATAATAATGCAATAATGCAATTATTTAGAAATTATTGACTTCAGTCATATGCTATTCCATAGCTAACTTTCAGAAACATGCACTTTTTTATTTCAAATAGTTTCACATTTTCTCCGAACTTTTGATTAAATACGGTAAGAATAAAGTCAGTCATATAGACTCATATAAAAACTTTTATCTTATATATTAAAACGTACAGTGTGTTGAGTTGCATGAAGATATGTGTATATTTGTATGTAATTGTTAATTTAATAGTAATAATTTTCATCAAACCCTAGAATTTTTGCTTTGTACTACTCAACACCATATATAAAACCGAAATCATTGTTTGCTTCTAACTGCTATTTTTCGTAAGGTGTTGTAAACGGTCCAAAAACTCTATCAAAAAGTCCTTGTTTTCGTAATCTAAGATGATATGTTGGAAAGTCTCATTATTTTGTAACCAATCCTGCACAAGATGTTCATTTGTCAACGCCGAATTTGAGTTAACTGAAATCGCCGAGACATCTCCAGAACCATCAGTATCGACTTTAATATCTGAATTAGGAGCACCAACGTCAATATCTAAGAAGTCAGAGCCTTCTGTGACGCCAGTCGCAAGGTCATCCTCAGAGGTGCTACTCGGAGATGAGCTAGCCACGGACACCGTTTTCTGATGTTTCATAGTTTGGAATTTTGTAAATTTTGGTCTAATGAATTTCTAAATTTTGTTTTCAAATTTTTTCTGACTTTACAATTTGAAATAATTTACAGAATAATAAAAATATCAACGAAGATGTGATTAAATATTTCTGTTATTTTTGGATTGTAATTTTTGTATTGTTGATTATTTACAAATCGGAAGATTGAGGATAGAGTTCGATTAAGTTCTATATTCAGATTATTTAAAGCATGATAAATTATACAAATTGTGTATTTACATCTCTAACTTTTAGAAGGGAACGTAATATAAAAAACTTATTTTTATGTATAATAATGACTGAAAAATCGTTTTGCTTTTTACATATGTTCTTGAGTTATAACAGATATACTCTCGGGCTATAAAATAAGGCAGCAACTTGGATATAGTTTATTATTTGTATGTTTTTTGGAAATTCGAATTTTCGAAATTTGATGAGTTATGCAGTCCTTGTGGTCTTAAGCGAGTTGTTTGAAGTAAATTTGGACTAGCATTGCAGTCGCTTCTAAAGTAAAGTAAAGCAAGTAATATGTGGATCATAGAGTTGTTAATATATTATGTAGTGAGTAAATATTTTAAAAGTATTTAAAACAAATTTTTTTTCAGCTACTTAATATGAGTGTACAAATTAAAACTGTTAAAAGTGTGGGCATAGGCGAGCCGATAAGCAGATCATAGTATATGATTCTCTGTCAATCCCATCAAACGAAAAGCAAAACCTTTATGGCCGTCAATCATGATTTAGCCACCATTTTGACCAGCTTATCGATATTCGACCACAATCGCTTTCGTTTGACGTTGTCCACTTTTCATTACCGGTTAACAACCGCTTCAGAAATGTAAGTTGGGTTGATTTTCCAACCTAATTTTAATGGTTCTAAAGGTGTAATGATTCTTAATGCAATATTTAGCTCTTTGGCAATCGAAACAGTGCTTACATGAAAAAAGCAAGCCAGACTCGACGATTTCCGTGATTTTATCGATATTTTTTTATTTTTTTTTATTGACATCGAAATTACTGGAACAAAATCGGCGAAGCCAATATTGGGCATTATTGGCTGTTACAGTATCAGGACTATGAACACTATTCACATTTTTAGCCGCCTTTTTGGCG